TCCACGTCAAATCGCACAATTCTTACTTGACACTGTAGAATTTTTTAAAAACTGTTTTGTTCAGTGGAGCTGGAGCCTCTGGTGTAAAAAAGCTAAAGAGATGACCTAGAAAAGTGAATCTTTTGTCAAGTTATGGTCCTCGTAGTTGCGAAACTTGCCAGATTTCTGCTTGGTACACCTGTCTTCAAAAGCCTATAGTTTAGCTTAATCTTAATAGCAACTAATAGCTTTTGGTTGACTAGGTTTTCTATGTTTTCTATTTTTGAATGCTAATTATACCTTTCATTAACAAATGTTATGTATTTGAATAAATAAAAATTTCAAGATCACTTTTGTTAAATTTTTAAAAAAACTCTATTTTGCACAGAATTTATTGCTCTGTAACATTGTGCAAACTGATAATATCTTCCAAATGGGACTGAAAAATACAGTTTGGAATGCGAAGTGGGGTGGATAATGATCCACTTTTTTTACAGTAGTCGCATGCATGATGCGATTGCGGAATGAACGTCAACAGCTTCTAATAGCCGTGAAAAATCATTGTCAAAAATTAGCACGCTTTAGTTGCCACGGAAGTCTTTAAGAAAGTCACTTTTATGTACAAATGTTCACAATTTTTTACTGTGCAACAAATTATTAACAGAAGGGTTGAAAATGACATATATTTTGGAGAATACTGGTTTCTGTCTTCTGCCAAATATTATTACCTTAACATCAATCGGCTAAACACATTGAAGTCTTACATCGTATCAACGTAGTTCTTTTTCATTAGCAAACTACAAATAACAACAAATGTTCTCATTGCCAAATTCGGCGAAGGCTCTTTAGAACGGTAAAACCTAAAAAATTTATTCCGTTAGTTCATCAACTGCATGAACCACCTTCGCTGGTGTGTATCCCTCTTCCACAGCTGTAATTGAATAAGAAACTACTGTCAAAAGCAGCCAAAATGCACGCGATTTTTGTAAAAATAGTAGATTACTGTATAATCCGCCTTACCTTTCAAAGTATAACTTTAAATTCTGTTTAGGACACATCAGTTCGTGACATTTTATACAGTTTTTTACTTACGTTTATGTCTTTTCAAAGTATTTCTTTTCAAACAATTTAAAAAAACCTTTTTATATGATTTCTATCTGAACTTTTTTTTTACTGTATTTATCTGACTATGTAACACTGTTAAAGGGTGAAATGATTATTCAAAAGTAGAAGACATAGTAATCAGTCAACCTAAAAGATCTTCATCTTTATTGAGGTTGAGTTGAATTATAAGGCCTCGAAGACAGGCAGGTCAAGTAGGAACCAGGCAAATTTTGCGGCTTCCGGGGCATAACTTGGCGAGGAATCTATTTCTCTAAATCTAAGTTATCTCCTTGATTTTATACATCAGAAGCATAAACTCTACCAAACCGAGAAGTTAAAAGAGACTTCATAATACCGAGTAGAAAAATTGTGCAACTTGGCGTGAAATGGCTCATATATTTATATATACACCTTGATTTTTACTTTTTATCATTATATTTTTTAACGTCATTTACTTTTTTCGACAATTTTTCGTTATTTTCTTAACGGTCATTGATGATGTTACAACGTTCTTATAGAAATGTTGATTTTCGAGATTATCTACT